TGTATTTCCTGTACCAGGCCTAGAACCAGCTATTTCTCGAAGGAGTTTTGTTTCCTTTTGTTGGAGAATGGGTAGTTAGAAACCAAGATCTGGTTGCTAGCTGTGCTCACTGCTATTGGGGTGCCATTGCTTCTAGGCCCACTCAGTGAATGGAGTTAGATAATACATATGCTAAACCCTATAGATACACATATCTAGAGTTGCTTCTGTATTCACCCATCTGTGTATATATATTAAGTGAAACATGAGTTCATACTGGGCCTCTGATTCCTAACCAAACATCACAGGATACATTCCAGCCTGTCCCTCTTACTTACCTGTGACTTCTCCCACCATCAGTGAGAAATCTGGTTTCCTGGGGTGCCTGGGTAGCTCAGTGAGCTAAAGCCTCTGCCTTCAGCTCAGGTCATGATCCCAGGATCCTGAGATTGAGCACCGCATCGGGCTCTCTGCTCAGTGGGGAGCCTGCTTCTCCCTCTCTCTCTGCCTGCTTCTCTGCCTACTTGTGATCTCTGTCAAATAAATAAATAAAATCTTTAAAAAAAAAAAAAAGGAAATCTGGCTTCCCACTATCCATAACTTACTTGTTCAACCCAACTATACATGAAAGCAGTTTCAAAAATTTGTAACCTATAAGCCCATGAGAAACTTTATCAACTAGAGCACAGTGTTCATGTAGATTATGCTGTACCTTTTATCTTTATCCTTATAGTTCCCAGGCAAAACCCTGAGGTTTTTTAAAGATATTACTTATTTACTTGAGAGAGAGCACAAAAGCAAGAGAGAGAGAACACAGAGGGAGAGGGGGACAGAGAAGCAGTGAGCAGAGAGCCCAATGTGGATCCCAGGACCCCAGGATCATGACCTGAGCCAAAGGCAGATGCTTAAACAACTGAGCCATCCAGGTGCCCCCAAAACACTGTTTTCTAAAGTTACTTAGGTCAGCACCTTTTTGTCCCTTACCCCCTTCAGTGTGTTTATGTCATAGACCTGTAATACAGTTAGATTTATTTGCAACAGTCTACATTCTACCCCAGAATACCGTAGCATCCCTGTTGTTTTTTTTAAGTGCTTATGAAGTATGTGTTGGATGGACAGATATAAATCTTAAGCTCTCTGAGAGCATGATTTCTCCCTATTTGTGTCCATATAACCTATTTACATCCACATAAATAGATGCTCTGTGAATCTACTGAATATACTTTTATTCATTTAATTGCAAAGAAGTAAATCTCAGATCCCCAGTTGCGGCTCCTTGTCCACTAATGATTCCCAGTTCCCAAACTGGCTGGCTGACTCCAGCCCAGGCTAGAAAAATGCCGTGCTGTCCTCCCATCTCTTCTCCCAAATTTTAGTATAAAGTCGTATTCTCCAGAAAGCCCTCTTTAATCTATTCCGGGGCCAGGTTTCCCTCTCCTATTGTACCCTGACCGTCCTCTGGGCCTCTTAGACTCTTTGGCCGTTACCCCAAGAGCAAGGGGGAAAAAGAGGAAAAGAGAGAAGAAGGCTGAAGGGGTGGGAGGGCCAGGAGACCTCTTGGGGTGGGATGGGCTAGCCCAGAAATTCAGGAACAATGGTAGAGCTTCCAGAAGAGGTACAATGCTCCTCCCTTCACCTCTCAGTGCCCTTTGCTCCCACCAAAAACACCAACTTCTACTTGTATCAGTTCCAAACTTCTTAAACGGTAGCTGGTGGCCCAGAGATGAAGAGGGTGTGGGACCCCTGTCCTCAAAGTACTCCAAATCCAACCAGAAAAGTAGGACACATGAAAAGATAAACAAAAATTTAAGACAGCAACACAACGATGTGGATGAAATAAAAGGAAGGCAGAGAGCTGGCCCAGCCACTGAGGAAGAGGTGATGGAATTTGGTGTATATTGAAGGGAATGAGGGGTCTATCCCTGGGAGCTGAAAGCGTAGAGTCCAGAGGAAGAAATCACCTCTGAGCATCAATTAGGCCGCACATCTGCTTCCCCTAATCTCTGTTCAGGCCCAGAGGTGGGAGACCACCAAGGGGATTTTGGGGTGGGTGACCCAGCCAGCTGGCTGAACCAGCCAGTGCTTTCAGGTTCACTGTCCGCAGGGCCATGGATGGTAGATGGGAGCACAGGTTTTTTTTTTTTATTTAGTTGACAGAGGCAGAGAAGCAGGCAGAGGGAGGGGGGGAAGCAGGCTCCCCGCGGAGCACAGAGCCCAGTGCCGATGCTGGATGCTGGGATCTATCTCAGGACCCTGGGATCATGACCTGAGCCGAAGGCAGAGGCTTAACCCACTGAGCCACCCAGGCACCTTGGGAGCACAGGCCTTATGCATATGGGAGGGAGGGGATCTGGCATTTCAGCGGAGGTGTTCTGAGGAAGAGAGAGTCACGTGAGTAGGACCGGGTGCCGCAGGACCAACAGGAAAGCTGTGTGGGAGAGAGACTGCAGGGACTGGAGGCTGGAGGCCAGCTGAGGTTATCACAACAGTTCTCATCCAGCCCACACCAGACTTGGGCCATGTCCTGATGTGGTCACTGATCCACATACCCAGGTCTTTTCGTCTGGGAAATGGGCCATCACTTGTCTATCCTCAGACTCAAAGCTCGAAGGGTCTAAGCAAGCCCTTTCCTTCACCCCTTGTTCTCGAAAGGAAGCCAGCCTCTGGGGTGTCAGGGATTTGGACGGACAGGCTGTGTGTGTGAGAGACACAGTGCATAAGGGAGCCAGAGAAGAGAGCATCCCAGGCAAGAGAAGGAGGAGGTCCAGCAGCATTTACTTCTGGAAAAGCCTGTTTTCACAGTCCTGGCAAAGCTTTCAGCTAACTCTTCTGTCACAAGGAGGCTCGAGTCCCACAGGTCTGCCCCTTGGCCCGAGCTCCATCCTGAGCGCTTGGCAGGTCCTGCGGTTCCCACTGTTTCTGGGGCTGCAGTAAAGGGCATCCCAGAGGGAGGAAAAGACTGAGTCCCAGAGTCTCAGTCTGCAAGGAAAAGACTGGTTAGACTCCAACACCCACACAGTGCAGCTCTGGACGTCTGTGCTGGAGGGCTGGGGGAAAGGGCAGTGTGGTGCCCCCAGCATGGTGGTGGTCCTGGACTGGGCGTCCGGCTCACAGGGCAGGGAGGGAGAAGCTGGGCAGGTGGGAGCAGTAAACAGGGCAAATCTCTTGTAAGGGTGGTGGTGATGTGGGAGGGGTGATGGGGAGTTTGAGAAGGGATTTACTGAGAAGGAAGGGCGGATGGGAGAGGCTCCCGAGTACTGGCCTCTCCTGCAATATAATCCACAAAGGAGAAGCATTTAAAAAGTCACACTGGGATCCTGCAGGGAGCACATCCATCTCTTTCTCATCCCAAACTTCCTTTGGACTTCCTATCGGATGCAGGAGCAACAAGCTGGAGCCCATCCACAGGGCAAAATAAACAGTGATAAGGGTTTGGAGACAGGACGGAGCTCTCCACCCTGGGCTCACAGCTTGGAGCAGGAGGTCACAGGGTCTTCGCAGAGTGGAGAGGAGCTTCCCCCTCCCAGGCCCCCAACTCTCTTCCTCCCAGCCTGTCTCATCTGCCTCAGTGTCTCACAGCTACTACAAGACACTGCTCCCCCAATTCATGTTCTAGGGTCCCAGGGTAGCGAGGACAGGGGGTGGAGTGGTGCTGGGAGTGAAGTTCTTTTTTTTGTATTTGCGTAAAAGTTCTGGAAGCCCTTGCTGACATTGTTGCTTGGGGGCCCAGCGTTTTAAACTTAAGTCACCGGCCTGAGCCCTTGTTTTAGGAAAGAATGAGATGGCGCTTGTTGCGTAATCCTGAGCAGGGCCGGTGGGAGCTGCCAAGAGAAGCGGTCCTTCTTCCTGCCTCTTGCCTCTGGGAAGGCAGGCTCAGCTAGGAGGGCTGGGGATGGGCGGGACACTGCCCTGGAGAGGGGAGGTGGGTGTGAGGGGCTGGTAGACAGTGTAGTGAAGACAGAAATACCCTGACGCAGTGGTCCAGCACCCCCTGGGCAGAGCAAAACCCGACACGGAATCCAGACAACCCAGTGGCTGATACTGGGGGTGAATGGGGCAGATTCTAAGAAAGGAAAGGAATGGAAGCTAACCTGAAGGACAGAAGTTGGTGGGGGGGGGGTGTCTGTTCTCTGTCCACTGTTGCCAACAGCACCCAGAGTGTGGGTTCCTCAAACTTTTGCCCCACCCCCCTCCACCTCCATTATGTCAGCAGGCCAATCCCCCACCACTACCCTGTCCCTACCTGCCGGGCATTCAGCTATTCTCACTCTTGCACACAGAATATTCTGGTGGACCCACCACAATCTTAGGGTTAAAGCCTGTACATTCAAAGTGTGCCTCCCCACCCTCCCCCCACCTCTCCCCTTGTTCCCCTCAACCCCTTCTACCACCTTCACCCAGTCTGACCCCCCTGATCCGTTTTCCCATAGGAACATCTCAAACGTGGCTCTTCTGCTCCTCTTCCTTAGGCTACTTTCTCCCCTCAGCAGTGGGTTTTCCCAAGACCCCATTATCCATCATCTCTGGCCTTTTGTCTTTTCCCTTTGCACACATTTCTCCTGTGACTCCCACACACCATCCCTTCCCCCTTCCTTTCAGACAGTAGGCCCCTCACTCCCCACTAGAGTCCCTATGCCCCTTCATCCCCCATGCATACACATGAACCGGACTCCAGGTTTTTCCGCTTCATCCCAACTCCCGTCCTCTCCTTCTTCCACCCCTCCCCACCCTCTAGTGCCTCCAGCCAGCTGTCCAGCTCCCAAATTCCGGCCACAAGTCCCGGGAACAAAGCAAGAAAAATCAGAGTAATTTGGGAAGTAAACAGAAACTGGGAAGGGAGGGGGGGAGAGAAAAGTGGGGAGGACCCAGGTTGGGGGGGCCCTCTCCAGTCCCACCCAGTTTAGGGAATGCCCCTGCCTTCTCCCCCACCCCCCCTTCACCTGGCTCTTAAAGGGCCCGGCCCCTGACCGGCGGCTACTTAAGGCAGAGGGGCGGCGGCGGGCAGCAGCTGCGCTGCGAGGGCTCTGGGAGGAGTGGACCGGGCAAAAATCCTGACCATGACCCCCCACAGGCTGCTGCTGCCCCTGCTGCTGCTAACTGTGCTGTTCGCTGCCCGCTCAGGAGCCGCCTTGGCACGGTGCCCAGGCTGCGGGCAGGGGGTGCAGGCGGGCTGTCCGGGGACTTGCGTGGAGGAGGAGGATGGGGGGCCGCCGGCGGAGGCCTGTACGGAAGCTGGGGGCTGTCTCAGGAGGGAGGGGCAGCAGTGCGGGGTCTACACCCCCAACTGCGTCCCAGGACTGCAGTGCCACCCGCCCGAGGAAGAGGAGGCGCCTTTGCGGGCGCTGCTGCTGGGCCGCGGCCGCTGCCGCCGGGCGCGCGGGCCCCAGGGTGAGTCGGCGCCCCGCCCCTGCCCCGCCCACGTGAGCCCCGCAAAGCCCCGGGCAGGGTCCTGGAGAGCAGGGACCTGCCAGCCTCTGGGTTCTGTCAGTGATGCTTCTTCTTCTTAGCCCGGGGCCGGAGGGTTGGCGCGGGGGGGGGGGGGTCGACACGTTTTGGGTGTGAAGGGACAAGGGGGGGAAGCAGCTAGAAGGTTGGGGTGTGGCTACAGGCTCTGGGACAAAGCAGGGAAATGTCTGAGCTCTGAACCTTACCCCCCCCAATTCATTTTCTCTTGAAGGGAAAGGTGAGCATGAAGGGGTTTAGGGCCATGCCATATGCCACAGCATCCCTGCTCCTTCCTTCAATCCCCCCACCTCCATCCCCTACTCCCAGCTGGAGAAAGGACCCAGATGTTGTTCCCAGCTTCCATTTGGAAAAGGAGAGAAGGGAATCCAGACTCCAAAATCCTGCACACACTGAGAAATAGCACCCCCCTTCTCCCCTTAATATCAGGGTGTCCAAAGCACCTGAGCATGGGCTCTAGAACAGAAGATGACCCAAACCCAGAATTGTTTCAGACTAGACTAGGGTCAGAGGGCAGGCTCTGGGGGCCTGAAGAGAAGGGGATAGAGGTGGGAAAAGAAGGAATCTGCCAAATCAGGGTTATGATTTAAAGCTGCTCAGAACCCTCCACCCACCCTACCCCACCCTACCCCAGGGAGGAAAATAGAAGTCTGAGTCATTGGGTGGGTGGGACAGAAGTGAGTCAGAATCCAAAAGATGGGGGGCAGCAAGGACAGGGGAGGGCAGGAAATGAAAGCAGTTCCCCCACCCAGGGGCTCCTGGTTTCTTTCATGGGAAGGGATGAGAAGTTAACTGGGTTTCTTTCAGTCCAAATGCCTGTGTCCGGGCTGCTAGGGGTCCTAATAGAAAGGGTTGTCTAGGTGGGTCAGAGAAGGTAGTGGGAGCATGGTTGTGGTAGGGTACTAAATGGAAGAAATGAGGGGCAAGGTCTGAGAAGGGTGGAGGAAGAAGGATCAGAATCAGGATTGTAGAGGGACTGGCTCTTGAGCTGCGGGTATAAGGCAGGTGGGAGCAACTGTCTAGGCTTGAGGACTGGGTATTTGAGCAGAGCTTGTCTTTGGGCACGGAAAGGAAGAGCTGATCCCTTTGGGGCCATAATATCTAATTTTACAGCTGGGACAAGTTCCAAGCAGTGCATACTCCCCTCCCTGCTTTTCCTCACCCTGACATCCTGGTGGTCCCAATTTATTTCCTCACCCCCTCCCATCCTGAGCTTTCCTAGGCTCCCCAGACACCATGTATTACACTTTCTCCAGAGCCAAGAACAGCCTGAAGGTTAGAAGTCCCTCATTCCCTGCATCTTTGCAACCTGTCCTCTGCCTGTCCTGGTCAAGGGCTGAATCATACCTGCTCCTGGGACCCCTGGGGTTGAAGTGGGTTGAGATATGGGGGACCAGAAGGGAGAGGCCCCCACTGCAGTGCCCCAAAAGTAACCATGTCTAAAGCCTGGGAGGGATGGGCTGAGTCACAGCAGGTTCACACCAGGGACACACATTCCACTTGGGTCTCCGCTAACCCCCCTCTCACAGCCCTTGCTCTTCTGCCTCATCTCCCTGGCTTGGTGCACCCCCTGCTGGCTTCTGGGGGGAACAGCCCGGTCTTTTCACCGCAAGCCCAAGGCCTCCAGATATATTTGTACTTACACTCTGTGTTTGCTTTCCAAAGTGCTTCTGCCTTAAGACTAGTCTGGATATATTGTCAGGAAAGGTAATATCTCTCTTTGTCAGAGAGAGAAACTGAGGCCAGAAGAAGGTACAGGTGGAGGCAAGTTCTAACTGACCTCGTTTCCACTGCTTGGAAAGATCTTCTCTTCCTCCCACTTCAGGGAGTCAGGGTGAGCAAGGCTCTCTTCCATTTGGTTCTGGTCTTTGACTCCCAATTTCTGGACTCTTCCTCCCCCATTCCTCTTGTGGCTGTAGGAGAGAATCCTAAGGAGAGCAAACCCCAAGCAGGGACCACTCGTCCCCAGGACGTGAACCGCAGAGACCAACAAAGGAATCCAGGGGCCTCTACCACTGCGGGCCGGCCCAGTCCTGGGGGTGTCCAAGACACCGAGATGGTGCGTTTGCGACTGGCGGAGGACGCGGAGGACCCGGAGGGGTGGGGACCCCTGGAAACTCCCATCACAGGCTGTCCCCTTGGGCATGGAGCGTTTTCCCATGTGCATGTCCTGGGAGCCCAGCTGGGGGAGACAGGGATGGCATGGTGGAGCTAGGCTGGGCTGGTTCCGAGCAGCCTGTTCTCCCTCCTCCCAGGGCCCGTGCCGCAGACATCTGGACTCAGTGCTCCAGCAACTACAGACTGAGGTGTACCGAGGGGCTCACACCCTCTACGTGCCTAACTGTGACCATCGGGGCTTCTACCGGAAGCGGCAGGTGAGGCTCCTTGTCTCCTCTCTGCCCCTTGGTCCAGCAGCACAGGTGCCTACCAGGGATGGGGTGAGGGGCGCTTACAAAGGGCATTAAGGAGACTGTTCCTGCCTTTAAGATCTCCCCACTTTAGGACCCACACAAACACAGAGAACAACCACATGCTATAGTAATGGAGTCAGACAGCCTGACTCAGGAATGCCTAAGTCCTGGGCTCACACTGGTGAGACAGCTCTGGTCACCTGGGGGCCTAGGGGCTATGAACTCACAGGGAGAATTTGCATTTCTAAGCTGTCCGTAGTGCTGATGCCCGAAGCTGGTTTGGGAACCGCACCTTGACAACTATGGTTCAGGCCTGGAAGACTAGGGCCAATTGAGTGGGTGGGGAAGAGTAGAGCAAGAGACTCAGTACCCATGGGCCCTCCCGTCCCTCCTGCCGGGGCCTGACGGTGACCCCTCTGATCCTCTGTGCCTCTCTCCCCAGTGCCGCTCCTCCCAGGGCCAGCGCCGAGGTCCCTGCTGGTGTGTGGATCGGATGGGCCAGCCCCTGCAGGGGTCCCCGGATGGCAATGGAAGCTCCTCTTGCCCCCCTGGGAGCAGCGGCTAATGCTGGAGGGGTGGGGTGGGGAGATGCAGCAGGGCCCCTGGAAGGAGCATGGGGCTGCCATCTTGGGTCATTTGTTGCGTGATAAGTAACTCAGGAGCCCTGAGCCCCATACTCCACCTTCAGGCCCTACCCCCACTGTCCCCCCTCACCCCTAGACCCCACACACGGGAAGATTGTTAGAGTGGGCTTTGGGTGTGAATAAAGCTGTGTTGGGGGTCTCTGGCCTACGTCTCTGTGTCTCTACCTCTCACATGTATGGAGCCCCAGTCCTTCTTTCTCCCACCTTCCGGCCACTGGTGGAGGTTTCCAACCCTCAAGCCTCTCCCAGCTACCCACCAGGGAGTGGGAGCAGGACAGACATAGAGGCCATGGCCTTTTTCTGAGTTTGTGACCTTGTTTCTAACACTAATATTTGGACACAAGGGGAGAGGGGAGAGAAAGGATTAATAGTTAATCCCCAGCAGGAACCCAACAAAGAGGAACTCTCGAAACACTTACTTTTCTGTTACATCCTACTAAAAAGGGAAGGAAAGTCTTGCTTACTGAGCCCCTCCCATGGGCCAGACCCTGGAGCGTGTGCGTCTCCGTGGACTGCCTCATTGTGTGCTTACAATAACCTTGTCAGGTAGGGACTTTTGCCCCTGTTTTTACAGAGGAGGAAACTGTGGCTTCCAATATTTGGGTCACTTGCCTGAAGTTACACAGCTGGTAAATGGGAGATTTAAATCTTGTTCTTCCGTCTGTGACAATGCCTGGCCTTCCCTAGACCCAGAATAAGTGTTGGTTTTGTGTCCTCTCTGCCCACACACTAACCCCAGCAGGTGTAGGGAAGAGCTGCCCCTTGGGGGCCCTGGCACCCAGCCCCTCCTGGAGGGGCCACAGCATCACCTTCGTCACAGGTGGCACCCCATCATAACATGAATCACACGCGTACAAGATGCCTTATCGCACGGTCTAAGGGAGCCGAGCTCACTGTTACCTGAAGAGCCTGCAGACTGCTGGGAAAGCAAGTCGTGCTAGGCGACAAGCCCCCCTCCCCACGACACACAGAGATGCAAAGCCACCATTCTAGCAGGAGGCGTGGCTCCCTCAGCTGGACATCTGGGTGGCGGCTTGGGTTGCTGGGGGTGGCAACCATTCCTGGGACAGCCAGCAGTCTGGAACTGAGAAGCATTACCCTCTAACCTGCTGAGCTCCTGGAGGTTCCTGCCTCCTGAAAGGACTTTAGTCTTTGGAGCTGTCCAATGAGCTGAGTGAGATAAGAGCTTGGCAGGCTGCGAAGGAAGGGAGGGGACACTTCTCTGCCACTTCTCCGCCGCCTGCTGACCCATCAAGACTCACATCATGGAGCCAAAGGCGGCCCGATTGCGGAGGGGAGAAGGGTTGAGAGGAGAGCAAGAGGACAGACCCTCTGCAGAAGGTGAACTGCCCTGGAGGGGTGGGCAGAGAGCTCATGGGGGCTGGAGGTGGGGATGTCTTGTTGAGAGGGCGTCCCTGCTGTCTTGGGAGGCAAGGGAAGGCAGCCGCTGTCTCTGCCCCTCACTGCCCAGCCAGGAAAGGGAAGTGAAAAGAGATATTCAGAGCTGAGGCCTTGCCCTATATTGTGGGCTCTTTCACTCCTGAGGGTGAACCAAGTAACTTCCCGTTTCCCAGGTAATGTCATCAGGCTCCCAGTGGCCTCCTCACCCTCTGCAAAAAAAAATTCCCCTTCTGATCACCCCGCCATGATACAAGATACTCCCCTGGTTGGGGGCAGGGAGGCTGCTGAGCTGACAGAAAGCATTTCCTGGACAAAGGATGCTTCTGGGTCTGTCCGAGGTGGCAGAAGCCTAACTCCTCCCCCTTGGATATGCCCTTTGACCCCTCCTCCTAGGAAACACCGAGAAGGACAGAGGCATGGACTTGGTGCAATGGACCCGCCATATGGAGGTGAGGGAAGTCAGAGGTCAGAGGTCAAGAGGGACAGGTCTTGGAGTGGAGGGGCTCAAACCCTTTAGATGAGGTGAGAGCTAAGGGTTAAGATAGAGGGGTCGGAAATACTTATCGGGAGGCCAGGGGCCAAAAGTCAGCCAGTGAACAGTCTTCTGTTGGCGGGATAAAGGTCAGGAGAGGGAAGGCTGTGGAGAGGGAGAAGAGAGTAGGGTCAGAGAGGACAAGGTGGTCGGCATCCAGACCCTGGCTGTAGAAGTGGCTTTCCTTGGTCCTCACTGCTGCCCTGAGAAGCCAGGGAGAAAGAAGTCTGGGGGGAACCCCTGGGCCAGAGCCTTGCCTGTTCCCGGCACTTAGCAACATGGCTGGCACGCAGAGAAGTTCAGCAAATACATGGTGAACGAGAGGACGGCTCGCGGGGGGAGCGACCGCCAGCCTGCCCTGCTCTGTCCCGTAGGCCGTGAAGATGCAGCTGTTGGAGCAAGCTCAGGGACCGCTGATGGAGCTACTGGACCGGGCCATGTGGGAGGCCATTCAGTCCTACCCACCGCAAGGTGGACCTCTGCCCTCCGTTCCTCCAGATTCCTCGAGCAAGTGAGCGTCTGAGGAGCTGGGGGCTGGGTTCCTGTAGCAGGCGCCTCTGCAGGGAGGGTTATGAGCCCTAAATATCATCTCATGCATCCGTTGTCAGTGTGGGCACGACCACGACGTCAACCTTCTCTCTGTTGTCTTTATGGCCTCCGCCTGCCTGACACTGACCTCTACCTCTGGGCCTTGTTCTGCCCTGGCCCTGACCTTCCACCTGGTCCTGCCCTCTGGCCCTCCCCTGATCTTCCTCCACTACTGCCCTTGGCTCCCAAGTATCCACCCTTCTGCAAGGCTCTGCTCTCTGCCCAGAGCCGCCTTCTCTCAGGTCCTGACCCAGACGAACTGTCTTCATTCAGGGCCCGGGAGCCATCCCTGGGGAAACGGAAAATTTTCATCATCCGAAAGTCCCTGCTTGAGTAAGTCCACATCACGGACCTGGGATGGGAGGAAAAGAAAGAGCTTTGGCTGGGGTCCAGGACCCCTCGATTCAAATCCTCAGGTTCTAGGGGTTTGGAGGGAAGACTTGGAGAGAGTTTCTAAAGTTCATGTTCCATTTGCCCTGGGCATGATTGTGGAAGAAAGGCCACCAGGATGAGAAGTTCCAGCCATGTCCCAGCCCTTAGCTGCAAGTTCCCAATCGCTAGTCCCCATCCTGCATGTGTATCGTGCCTGAGCTGGTCCCCATGACCTTGAGGACCCTCCCACACCAACATACGGGCCCCTGTCCCTGCAGCGAGCTGATGGAAGTGCAACATTTCCGTACCATCTACCACATGTTCATCGCCGGCCTGTGTGTCTTCATCATCAGCACCCTGGCCATCGACTTCATCGACGAGGGCAGGTAGGCCCCCCTCCCGCCTGGGATAGGCACACAGATCAGACCCCTAGGTCCCCAGTGTTCCACCTGCCACTGGCCTGAGCAACCACAGCCCCCACCGCCGACTTTGATCCTTTGATTACTGGACACACATCACCATTGCTTCCAACAACCTTGCCACCTAAAAGATACTCTTAGACTTCTTCCTTCCACAGCCTTGGATGGCCCTTGGTCTGACCTCCCGGGTCAGCCACTCTGCGGACATTCTGTCTCCTGCTCAAATACTTCTCAGTAGCAACCATGCCCAGATACATGTGAACACACAGGCACACTTCCTACCTTTCACACTCCCTCCCAAGTCAGCAGTGTTTGATCCAAGTAACCTCCATTGGGCACCTTCCAATTCCCCAACCTGAGGGCCAGAGATGAGAGCCAGACCCCATCCCAGTCTCTGAGGCACTCCCAGTCTTGTGGGGAACCCAGACATGCCCACTGACATCCCCCCAGAGCACCGCCGACTCTGGGGATGAGTCTCAGAGAGGTGAAGAGCCCGGGGTGGGGGTCTGTATTTACACCCCCCCGTCTCATCGGAAGTACAGTTTAGGAAGCAGTAAAAAGAAGAGGACCAAGAATCTGTGGGTTCAGCAACAGAATTGCCTTCTGGCAAAATCGTTATTAATTATATGAGGAATAGAAGGATCAAATCTCAGTAAAAAGTTCAAATACACGTAAAAATGACAGTCCTTCCTGACCACTCCACCAGCCCCAGACCGCTGTCAGAGATAACATTTTTAACAGTTTTGACAGTTTCCCTCCAGGGCATTTTCCATGCGTTCACATCCACATGTGCATAAGAACCAAGAAGGTGTCTGTTGTGAAGCTTTGCATAAATAAGATACTTACTGTACTTACTGTTGTGTTTTTACTCCTTAATAACTTATCTTCCTCTCTTAAAGATTTTTCCATGTCAGCCCACTGTCCTTTACTCACTCATGGACATTTAGGTGGTTTCCAATTTTTCCCTGTTACAAACCATACAATCTAAACATAAGCAAATAAAACACCCAACGACCTGCTTTCTACTAACTCCATCTACAGCTACAGACACTCCAAAAGAACACAACTAACGGAAATCAAGGCTAAACTCTGAATACCCCATATTTTAATACCAGCAGCATACAAAGTTCTGAGCCCTCCTGCAACACTCTAAGATTCAGAGAGCTGTAAAGGTCATGTGTAAGCAAAACCACCCCACGATTGAGTCTTTTCAGGCAACACCCTGTGCTAGAACTTCGGGACAACAGAGGTGCCATCTTGAAAACCTTCAGATATGGGACGCTGGTAACTTTCACAAAATACCTCGGTTTGTCTTCCAAGAGCTCTGACTGCAGAGGGAGGGGACAAAGATGGGCCACACATTTGTCTCCTTTGTTTCTCCCTCTCCATTCCAAGGCTGATGCTGGAGTTTGACCTACTGATCTTCAGCTTTGGACAGCTGCCCTTGGCGCTGATGACGTGGGTCCCCATGTTCCTGTCCACGCTGCTGGTGCCCTACCAGGCCCTGCGGCTGTGGGCGAGGCCCCGGGATGGAGGGGCCTGGACGCTGGGGGTGGGCCTAGGCTGCGTGCTGCTGGCCGCCCACAACGCGGTGCTCTGCGTCCTCCCGGTCCACGTGGCCCTGAAGTATCAGCTCCCGCCGGCCTCGCGCAGTGTCCTAGTCTTCGAGCAGGTGATCGGCGAGACGAAGCTGGGGGCGGGGCTCGGTGGGGTGGGGAGGAACTAGATACTATAGTACTAGTGGGGGCGGAGCTAGTTCCTAGGGGCGGAGCCCGTCTTCAAGGGTTTGAACTCACCAGCGGGGGCTCCAAGGAAATTTGCTGCTGTGCAAATGAAATCGGACTTTGCAAGGAGTCACCGGTATTGGCTGGCTGGAGGCTCCACTCTGGCCTTTCCTGTACCCGTTTACCCTTGACTCATCCCAGGAGCGACCTGTTAGGCTATAAGACTAGCAGACAAAAAGATAAAATACGGGCTTTGATGGTACAAATTTTGCAATCCACCTGCCTCTCTTCCGTAAAGGAGCGCACAGAGATGTTAAGTGATTAGCTCAAAACCACACAGCAACTTAACCTCCTTTCCATTCCATCTCAGGTCAGGCTCCTGATGAAGAGCTACTCCTTCTTGAGAGAGGCTGTGCCTGGAGCCCTTTGTGCCAGAGTAGGTGAGGCCTTCCGCGGGCCCCGCTGTGAACTCAGGCCTTTTGGCTGTTTGAGTGAAGTCAGCGGTTGCAAAATTCTCATACAAGCTCTGGCTTCCTGATCCTGTGCTGCCCCCAGGGCAGAACTCTGGCCTCCCAGCTGGACTCTGTGGGCCTTAGTCATCAGTCCCGCCTCTCAAGTCCCGCCTCTGAGATATGGCGCCTCTGACACCCAGGACTTCTGGCACTTTCCAATTTCCAGGCCTAGCCTGGAAAGACCCAGGGTATGAGAGCCTTATATTAGGAAGTCAGAACAGAAGGAGAGAAGGAATGTGTGGTGGAACTTGTGGGTGCCAAATGAAAAATGACAAAGCAGGTCCTGTACCAGGAAGTAGGGCACCTGGAATGGAAGCAAAAGGGTGTCAAAGAGCAGCTTCAGCTCCTGCGTAGTCTCACCTTCCCTGCCACACCTCCAGACCCAATATCCAGCCCCTCACCCATCCCCTGAACCCCTGTCCTACCCAGCCCTCCACCCACCTGGCCCTTCCCCAGCCCCCACCCCCTCCCACTCTCTCTCCTTTCCCCCTTCACTGATGGAGCCCTCTCATTCTTCCCCAGGTGACGGCAAACAAGCCCCCAGTTTCTCCAGCTACCTCTACTTCCTCTTCTGCCCTACACTCATCTACAGGAAGACTTATCCTAGGTAAGACCCTGTACCTCTTTCCCAAATGCCCAGGCCCATCAGGGACATTGCCCTTCTCTTTTCCTCTCTCTGGGGTCTTTAGCCTCTCTCCAGACCCTGGCCAGTTTCTCAAGAAGCTTCCCATAATTACAATGGGAAATAAGTGGCAGGTAGACTATCCCTTCTCCTTTGCACAGCCCATGGTGACATGAGAGTGACCAACTGTCCTGGCTTGCCAAGGGCTGCCCCAGTTTTAGTACCAAAAATCCTCCACCTTGGGAAACGGGTCAGTCTGGAGCAAACTCCTGATGGTTAGTCACTTTAATTGACATTCGAGCTAAAAATCCATTTGCCGTGTCTAGTATGGATGGTGCAGAATGTTCTAGACCTTTACCTCCCCAGATTATCCTCCCAGGCCTGAGGAACTTCAGGAGATTCAGAGAGAGGGCCTGTGCCCCTGAAGGCAGGGAACAAAATAAAAGGTTGGGAAACATGTTATCCCCATTGCTGTTGCAGGACACCCAACGTCAGGTGGAATTATGTGGCCAAGAACTTCGCCCAGGTCAGAAGATGGGGTAGAAGGGCAGACACGTGGTGGCTGAGGGGGCATTTCTGGGACTGAGATGGGGAGTGCTGGGGAGGAGGGCAGAGGGTGGTGCTAAGGTAAGGGGAGGCAGGTGCTGGGCCAGAATCCAATTCCAGAAGGAGGGGGAGCTGCTTGTGACTCCTCTTAGAGTGACATGTCCCTCACCCCTCCCGCACCCCTCCCCAGGCCCTGGGCTGTGTGCTGTATGCCTGTTTCATCCTGAGCCGTCTCTGCGTTCCTGTCTTTGCCAACATGAGCCGGGAGCCCTTCAGTACCCGGGCTCTGGTGCTCTCCATCATGCATGCCACGTTGCCAGGTGTGGCCACCAAAGGCAGGGCTGGGGAGGGCTGCACCCAGGTGAAGCCTTCCTAGTAGGGGACTTCTCCCTCCCCTCTCTTTCCCTTCAGTCAGATTCAACACGTCCTGCCTCTGGAACCTCTCCCAAGTGTGGCCCCTCCCATCATGGCTCACTTCAGATGACCACTCCACTCTCTCTCTTTCCACATTGGCCTCCTCACCTCTCTCCTTACCCCTTCAATCTTTCCTCCCCCGCCTGCCCCGGACACTGCTGCCCAGATGAACGTCCCTCCTCCAGGTTAGTCATTCCCCACCCTGGTTCAAAATCTCCAGTGACTCCCCATTGCTGGCCTCTCCAGATACAGTTTGACCCCTTGGCCTGGCATTCAAGGCCCCTTCCCAGAAAGCCCCTCCTGTCTTCTCATCCTGCCCCAGGCTCCGCCCATTCCTTGAAAGATACTCACTTTCATGCCTCCAGGCCTTCGCTGATACTGGTCCCTCAGCTTGGACTTCCTTTCCCCATTTTCCAGCGGCGAAGTCCAGTCTGTTTTTGGAGCCTCCTCCTCCAGGAAGCCTTTCAGTTTTAGCCATCAATCACCATGACCCACCCCTTTTTTGCACTGCTAAGCCCATCAATGGCCACCATGCTTAGCTCCCAGCACACTTGACCTTGATGCATGGTTGGACATGTCTCCGTCCCTATCTCTGCCTCTGTCTCTCTCTGCTCTCTTTCTCTCTCTTCAACCACTCCATGAACTCCTGAGGGTCAGGGGCTTTGAGCTTCATCTGTGCATCCCCAGCATCCAACATGGGGGTCATGAGCAGATGGATGGATTAATAAATGCATGAGTTAGTGAGTGACAAATAAGTGGTGGTAGGATTTGGGGCCCTGGTTGCCAATGAGGGGCCCTTGGAGCTTCCCAGGGGATCCAGGTGGGCCAGTCTGACCTTCAGCCCTTGTCCCCACTCACCAGGCATCTTCATGCTGCTGCTCATCTTCTTTGCCTTCCTCCATTGCTGGCTCAACGCCTTCGCAGAGATGCTACGATTTGGAGACAGAATGTTCTACCGGGTGGGGCCTGGACCTGACCCCTTGGGAGCTGGATGCAGGGAGGGCCGGAGAGTGATCTGGGGACGTTGGTGGCTCCATAGGTGTCACCTCCGCTGTGCCTTCAGTCTCCCACGTGAGAAACGGGCTGCCCTGGATATGGTTCTGATGTCACCTCTCCACCTCCCAACTAGCCAGGGCCAAAAGCTCTCATTCGCATCTTACTTTGGAATCATCTTCTCCTGAGAGGGAGCAAAGGAGGGAGGTCCCCAGATCCTGAAGAGGCAGCTGGGAGAGTGCCTGCTGTCTCTCTTTGGCCGGGGACCAGCCCCCTGGGGAACACTGGGACAGGGTGCAGGAAGCAAGGAGGAGCAGCTGGGGCCCGAGAAGAGTCAGGACCCTGATGCTCACCTCCTTCCCCCAACCCTGACCCCATTCTTCCCCCAGGACTGGTGGAACTCGACGTCCTTCTCCAACTACTACCGCACTTGGAACGTGGTGGTCCATGACTGGCTATACAGCTACGTATATCAAGATGGGCTGTGGGTACGAGCTCAGCAGACCACCCGCCCAGCTCCCATAGCTAGTAGAGTCTTTCCAGAACATTCTCTTTCCCTCTGTCTACACCATTCACCTTTTCCAGACCCAGGGGCCCCCTTGACCTCCATCTACGCTCTTCTACCCAACCCAGTGGGCAGAAAATCCTCCTTAGGGTCTAACTTCCTTCCTTCTTTATCCTTTTTTTTTTTTTCAAAGATTTTATTTATTTATTTGACAGACAGAGATCACAAGTAGGCAGAGAGGCAGGCAGAGAGAGAGGAGGAAGCAGGCTCCCTGCGGAGCAGAGAGGCGGGGCTCGGTCCCAGAACCCTGGGATCATGACCTGAGCCGAAAGCAGAGGCTTTAACCTACTGAGCCACCCAGGTGCCCCCTTCCTTCCTTATCCTTAACTCCACCCCCACACAGCATTTCCCCCTCCTTAGACTCCTCAGGAACATGCATATAGCGACTATTAGTTACCAAGACTTTTCACATACATGATCTGCACAGTGACCCTGACAAGTATCATTATATCCCCTTTTAAAGATTGCATTAGCCCAAAGAACTAATAAAATGCTCTTAAATAAGATATACCAGCCCTTCAGACCCCAAATCCCATATTCTTTCCATTGTACCATACACTCTCCTGGTTTCCTTAAAGATGGGGCTCTTTGCTTGAGGAGACTTATTCCACCCTCCTCCCCCCACCCCTGCCAGCTCCTTGGCGGCCGGGCCCGAGGGGCCGCCATGCTGGGTGTGTTCCTGGTTTCTGCCGTGGTCCATGAGTACATCTTCTGCTTTGTCCTGGGATTCTTCTACCCCGTCATGCTGATACTCTTCTTAGTTATTGGAGGTGAGCTGGGCCTCCATGTGCCACGGGAGGGGGAGCCATCCAGAGGGAGGAAGCCTGGAGTCCTGCTTCTGGAAATTCCAGACTGACAGGGGAGGACACACACCCTTCTGGAGGGGGAAGCATGAAAGTTGGGGTGTGAAGGAACTTGGGAACAGGGAGGGAGGCAGCAGGGGTTTTCTTGGGGGATGTGGGAGAAGATTTCTGGCTGGAGAGGAGCATCTGAGCGGGGCACACATAGAGGGAGACAAGGGGGAGAAGTGGCATGAGGATAGAAGGTTTAGTATAAGATCCAGAATACTGCTATAAACAGAGGAATCCTGCTTTCACATGAGCCACTTGAGATCTCTATGGGTTGCTAGATCTGGGTTCAAGTTCCTGTTCCATCACTCCCCAGTGTCCTGGGAATGAGAAGGCAGCCAGGAAGACAAGGTGTCTGGAGTTGGCGTAACAAGCTTTCCTCCACATCAGGGCTGATGAACTTCATGATGCATGACCGGCACACGGGCCCGGCGTGGAATGTGTTAATGTGGACCATGCTGTTTCTGGGCCAAGGCATCCAGGTCAGCCTGTACTGCCAGGAATGGTACGCTCGGCGACACTGCCCCCTCCCCCAGGTAAGGGACCACGACCGTCACTCAGCTCCCCATCCAGAAGGACACACCTCCCCTCCACAACAGCCAGCCCTCTATTATTCCCCAATTCAACAGCCATTTGGTCAGGGACCAGGGCCTGGTGTGGGGGCTTCTGTGTCTTGGATGTGTAGGGTGGGCACAGGGGAACTCATGTACAATTCACCTCTCTCCGGCACAGACGACCTTCTGGGGGCTGGTGACACCTCGATCTTGGTCCTGCCATACCTAGAGATCAGAGCACCCTCACTGCCCAGATGATACCACCAAGTTCTTCTCTGCCTGCAAAGCCCGGGACCAGGGTGCCTCTCCCTGAACTCCTAGATCTAGCTCCAAGTCAAGGGGGCCTGGCAGGCATGACCCACTAGGGAACTCCAGAGACAGAGATCCGTGGACCCAGAGGGCCACTGAGCACAGACACGGAATGATGGTGGCTCTTGAGCCTCCAGCCCCCTCGACCAGGCACAGAGTCCCCTCCTACCTCATGACTGTCCAGACTTGGGAAGACTTGAAGGATCTTACAGATCTGGTCAATGCAGGGTGACCTAAAGAAGCCGGGGCCACCAAGGTCTGAGAAGGGTTTGGCTGGCTTTTTGTACTGTTTCCAGTACAATAATAAACTGTGTCTCTTTTTATTCATTCATTGGTTTATTCCTTCATTCATTCTTTGATGAAGGCCCACTTTGACAGGCACACCGGAAGAGCTGGGTCCCCAGAGGCTAGACTGTGTGGTGGGAGGGGCTGAGGGTCTTGGATGACATCCATTGCCTTTTTAATGCCATCCCCTCCCCAAAACCCAACTTTGCCCTCCTTTCCACCTCTACTCCTCCTTCACCTCACATTTCCACACCCCTTAATCCTTCTGCTCCCAGCAACCTCTGGCACATCTGGGACGGGCCACAGCAGACCCAGGAGAGGAAGTGCCTGTACAGACCTGATGCGATTATCTCACCTTCCTGAGCCCCATTTTCCACAGCTATAAGGGGACCTTAAAATGAAGAGTGTCCTCACTGTACAAGTTCAGAAGGTCAAAAGATTCATGTTCAGCACCATTCCAGAAAACAGACTGTGTAGTCACTCTAAGGAGAGGATCGTTTCTGTCCTCCTTACGCAGGTCCCCCCTCACCTGGTGTGGGGAAGACATCTAGACCAGTAAACTTTTAGGGAACTTAGCCCCGGGGCACAGAGGATCAAACAAACCAGGATTCCTGAGAGAGGGATGGGTACTTCTTTTTTTAATAAGAATCTTTTTAAAAATTAATTAATTTATTTATTTTTGCGTGCATGCAAGAGAGAACGAGCACAAGCAGGGGGGTGGGCAGAGGGAGAAGCAGACTCCCTGCTGAGCAGGGAGCCTGATGCAGGGCTTGATCCTAGAACCCTTGGATGACAACCTGAGCCGAACGGGGACGCTCAACTGACTGAGCCACCCAGGCGCCCGGTACTTCTTTTTTTTTCTTTTCCATGTTAACAGTGTGAATGGATATCTTTTCATGTCAACAATATAGATCTATTTCCTCACTTTTACTTACTGCATGTATACACTAGAAGTTATTTAACTATTTACGTACATTTCAATTGTTTCCAGTATTTGGCTCTTATACACAATTCTATGATGAACTTCCTCGTGTATGTATACACATCTTTGTGCACTTTCCTACTGCAGTTTTCGAGAAACAGAATTACTAGAACATTGGGCGGTACTACTCTCAATTTTGTATAAGTTGCCAAATTCAAAACTTCCCTCTGGAAGGTTTAAGTGAATTTAAGATATATGACGTCATCCATTTCCCAATGCCCTTGCGCATATGGGGTTGGGTCAACTTCTTTATTTTGGCCAACCTGATAAGCAGAAAATTATGTCTATTATCTTCATTTTGCTTTATGATCACTGCTTTAAAAATGGAATATACTTTCCTATATGTACCAACAATTTTTGTTCACTGTTTTATTTTTTTTTAATTTTTAAAAAAGATTTTATTTATTTATTTGACAGAGAGATAGAGAGAAAGAGAGCATAGGTAGGCAGAGGGAGAGGGAGAAGCAGGCCTTCCACGGAGCAGGGACCCCGACGTGGGGGTTGATCCCAGGACTCTGGAACCATGACCCGAGCCAAAGGCAACCGCTTAACCAACTGAGCCACCCAGGCACCCCAAAATTGCATGGTTTTAAGCACACAGAATTTGCACATCTGATTTGTCTCTCAGTATTTCATATGTTTTAATGCTATTGTTTTCTTAATTTCAATTTATTATTGTTCATTGCTAGCATATTGAAATCAACTGATTTTATGTGTTATTTTGAATTATGATTTCCAAAATGGAATGAATGGCACATTTGGTTTCAATGTGTTATGTATCATATCTTGTATCATATGTTCCTTCATCATGCCATAGTGAGTTGTGGCTATGCCCTCCATTTCCCCTACTCTCTTGTTGTTTTGGAAGTTCAAGTGCACTTTTCCAATCCCTTGATAGTTACCTATCCTTACTTGCACTGATAATCCACTACCTACTTCTTCGTCATCATTTTTAAATATACCAATTATGGGGCACCTGGGAGGCTCAGGCCGTTAAGCATCTGCCTTCAGCTCAGGTCATGATCTCGGGGTGCTGGGGCCGAGCCCCGTTCGGGGCTCCCTGCTCGGTGGGGAGTCTGCTTCTCCCTCTGCTGCTCCCCCCTGCTCCTACTCCTCTCTCTCTCAAGTAAAGAAACAAAAACTTTAAAAAGTTAATATACCAATTACTTCTTCCATTAAGATGTTTTATTTTCCTGCCACTTCTACCCCGCTAAGAGAGACCTTCGGAATACTTTGATCTCTCTTACTCTGCTTCCCATCCCTAGGTGTGCCCAAGAGAACACAGTACTTAGGGCCCTAGGTATAATTAGGTGTTTGTCCAGCTCCGTGAGCATTTAACAGCGTGATATTGGCCAAGTGTCCTATTCACTGGAGGTTTTACTCCCCCCTCATCTTCCTCTACCTTGACTTCTCCATTCCCTGAATTTTTTTCTTGAGTATTTTCCTCAGGTGAGATAGGAGATTGTGATACTCTTTATAGCTCTAAATATCTTTCTTTTGCTCTGACAGGTGAAAGCTTTCCCAGCTGGGAATGGGGTCCCTGGGCAGCCGATCCTTTTCTCTCGCTGTCCCACGTTTAGCTTTCAGTACCTCAGATGCAGAGTCCTGGGTCAATCTGATGCTTTTCCCTTTGTACAGAACTGGATCTTTCTGTCTAGGAACCTGAAAATGTTTTTCTTTAATCTTGGAATTCAGTAGTTTCATGCTTAGATGTCTGTCTTTTCTTTTCTTTCCTTTTTTGTGTCTTCCTGTGCCCTTTTGGTCTGCAAGCTGAGATCTTTTTTTCAAGTCACTGAAGTCTTCTTCTATTTTTAAATTATTACCTCTCTTCCATCTGTGCCTTTTCGTTCTTTTGGAGCTAATACATTTGAATGTTAGGACTACTGGATCTATTCTCCAAGTCTCAAATTTTCCTCTTTATTTCCATCTCTTTGTATTATTTGCTCTGTGCTTTGAAGTATTTTTTCCACTTGTCCTTCCAAGCCACTAATTTGAGTCCCAGCAGGGACCAGACTTTTCTCTTTTGATGCATATACTAATTTTTGTGGTTGTTGAAATAACGTTTCTTTAGTTCCAGAAAGTACTTTTTGGTACACTACTTGAAGCTCTTTAAGTGCTCCTAATATTTTCTTAAGTTGTCTTCTAACTCTTCAGTGGTTCCTGTTGCTGCCTGGTAGGCAGGAAGAACAGCTATGATGACCTCATCCCCGTAAAGCCAGGGTCATCTGAGTCATGTTCTTTCAGGATCCCCCATGGTCCTGACCTCTGGTCAGAGGCTCTCCAAAGCTGGTCTCCCGACTCTTATATGGTGAGAATGAGGACGTTCCTCCCCAGGTTTCCTCATTAGGCCTTCCCCTTCCTAACTCCAAGTTCAAGCCCTCACTGGCACATCCAGCCCCTGGCCCCAACAATACTGGTTAAGAAGAGGCAGGTGTTTGCAGTGGAAATTCCCTTAGAACAACGATTGTCAAACTGGACCACACCCTGGAATCCCCTCCAGGGCGGGCCAGGATAGGATGAGCCCCACCCCAAGATTTTCTGATTCCTTCTAGGGCGTGGCCTGGGAATTGCCAAAATATGCTGACACTGCTGGTTGAGGAACCACACTTTGACAACCCCTGCATTAAAATTCATGAAACCAAGCCACCCTTCTTCTTCAAAATTATAGCTTTTTTTTTTATGGTGAGGAAATTAATCAATGTCAGGAAGGTACTGTCTCCTCATTTTACGTGGGTTCTTCAATTTATTCATCGTCCTGAGGCTCTTACACGACTGGTCTCCATCCAGGCCCCCTCGCCCACCAAAGCCATCTCGGGGGCTTTAGTGCCCTGACTCCTGGTCTGAGAAGAAGGCAGTGGCAGAGAGCCAAATGTGCCCAGACCAGAACCCCTCGGGCTGAACCAAAGTGGAGTAGAGGTGGGTCAGACCAGAGAGCCCCTCCTTTGCACAGGCTCAGGCCCCTTCGTGGAACCTTGTTTTACCCTGGTACCCAGAGGGTGGCAGCAGAACCCCACCAGCCTTGGGCCAGGACATCAGTGGGGATACAGCGCCTGGAGTGGGCATCTGCTTTCGAGTCAGGGAGGACTCTGGGACCATCTTCCCACCCAGCAAGGCCCTCCTTCTGGCTTAGGAACCACCTTGTCTGTCTGTCCCGGTTCTCTTCACTGGGGCCCTATCTGTGCCCCTCAGACTCTGTGCCCGTCCTCTAACTCAAACACCTTCTATTCACACCTTTGACTTGTCCAGTTTTTTCTCCACATCTACTTGCTTGTCCTGGGATCCCATGTAACACTCACTCCCCTCTTCTGTGGCCTTCTTCCTAATCTGTGCTGGCCCAGTGGTCTGCGACCTACATATCGTCCCATACTCCACTAGTTGGAGTTTCTCCCTCCCATATTACTCCTCCCTCACTCTGCTGCTGGGAGCACCCCTCCTATAACAAACACTCCACAACTCTGAAACACAGAACTCAAATGGGCATTTCAGCAATGCCCAGTGATCCTATTAATCTGGAGGACTCCCTCCCCACTTTCCAAAAGAACAACTTTTTTTTTTTTAAGATTTTATTTATTTATTTATTTATTTATTTATCAGAAAGACAGTGAGGGAGAGCACAAGCAGGGGGAGCAGCAGGCAGAGGGAGAAGCAGGCTCCCCGCTGGGCAAGGAGCCCGATGTGGGACTCAATCCCAGGACCCCGGGATCATGACCTGAGCTGAAGGCAGACACTTTAACCAACGGAGCCACCCACGCATCCCCAACAACTTGATTTCTTCTCTCTTTTCCCACCATTCATCTCCAACTCTATAGATCCACCCAAAGCACACACTCCAGCTTTCCCCAACTCCAGGTTCCTCCTGTGAACTGCTGGAATTCGCCCTCCTCACATCACAAGACATTCCCTCCCCTCCCACCACCTCCAACACTAAGACCCTTTTATGAGTTCCAGGCACCTCCCCCTCCTTTCCCCTCTCTACCGAATGTTCCCATTAGCACCCAGGTGAGTTCCTCTACTATGTCCCATCGCTAACTTTCCCCTCTTCACCCCAGATCCTCATCAG